CCCTCAGGACTCTAAGGGTAGCGATGGGACCTACCAAGCCCCTATTCCCTAAGAACTTACAGTCCTGAGAGAAGCACAGACAGTAAACACACAGAGGCTGGCACAGTGTCACCAGTGCAGTGATGGATGGAAGCTACATGCAGGAGCAGTTGGAGGACGCCACTACCACAGACAGGAGGAATGCACAGCCTTCCAGCTTGAGCTGAAGGCGAAAGGGAAGAGGGCTTTCCGGGGAAGAAACCAGCAGCAGCAAACGCACATCAACCTGCGCATTTTTATAATAAACTGACACATGAAAAATGTATATATTCAAGATGTGCGATGTGATGTCGGTGTACGTTACGTACTGATTATCCTAGTCAATGAACACTTCCCCCCGCCCACACAGCTGACCTGGGTGTACCGACCATCTTTTGCTGTTGGGCAGGTTACAGAGATTACAAGCAGTTCCCTGATGCAGAAGCCCAAGTTAGGAACAAGATGGAGCTAAATACAGAGGCAGGGATTATGTCATGGGGGTGGGAAGACATATATTGGGCAAAGAATTTTATTCTTTCCTCTTTTGACAGAGGGAAGGCCTGATATTTAAACTGTAATCCAATCACCACTCCTCAAGCTTGGGGAGGGCACCAGCTGGGAATAGTTTCCACTCTGGGCCCCCAGCAGGTGCTTCTCAGGGACCGCAATCAGGCAGCAGAGGGGCCTACTCACCTGCCAGGCCCGCTCCGGCAGCTGTTTTGTGCCAACAACATCGCCCCCCAAAAGCTCCCTGCCTCGCTCCCCAGATAGTGAAGAATGACAGCCTGTTTGGGAAGCTACACTCACAGAAGCAAGCAGTGCCACACTGTGCCACGTGGGGAGAAACAATGATGTAACTGCAGAGTCTGCCTTTAAAGTCTACCATGCTATGATAAAGGTATTACTTAATCTTCCTCAGAACCTACTAGAAGGATTTCTTATCTCTACCTGAATGGTTACAAAACCCAACCCAGAAGGTTGAGTAACTTGCCCAAGGTCAGACAGTCAATAAAATGTAGAACAAAGTGTGGAAACCAGATATGCCCTTTAGACCTAAAAACTGGAGAGTCTGGTCCCCGCCAACCATCATAAACCCTGATGTAGACTTCAAAGAGTCTAAGCTGCAAAACAAACGTTTAGAAGCCAAAGAAATTTCCAACCTCCCCCACCCAAAGTGATTACCTCATGCCTTCTAAAAATATTTTTTTAATTATTATTATTATTAGTTGTCTGTGATATGAGTGTGGGTGTGTGTCACGGGTGTAATGTGAAGATCAGAGGTTGGTTCCCACCCACCCCCCCACCTTTACAAGGGTTCAAGGCATTGAACTCAGGTTATCAGGCTTGGGTGGCAAGCACCTTTACCCACTGAACCATCTTTCCGGGCCCTAAAATAATATTTTTTTAGTTGATATTTTTCTCATTCAGGTACCCCAAACACACAGTCTACCTCTGACTAACCCAGACTCGTACACGTCTGCAGAAGCCAACAGGCATTTTCTTTTTGCTCTACTGCTCTTTACAAAAATTTTCAAGCAATTTCAAAAAAATAAGCCCCCAAATGAAACTTATTCCTAAATATATGTATCTTAAAAATCAGCAAACAAGCCAGGCATGGTGGCACACACCTTTAATCCCAGCACTTGGGAGGCAGAGGCAGGCGGATCTCTGTGAGTTCAAGGCCAGCCTGGTCTACATAGTGAGTTCCAGGCCAGTTGGGGCTTCAGGGGGACCCTGTCTCAAAAAGACCAAAAAAAAAAAAAAAAAAAAAAAAAAAAAAAAAAAAAAAACCGACCAAACAAAAAAAAACCAACACCCAGCAAACAGCTGTTTCTTGTTCCAACCCCAGTGCACAAGCTTCAAATCAGTATGAATGACCCCCACGGTCCTCACAGTTGCCAGACTAAAGCACATCTTTCTTTACCCTCATGTTGACTCTGCTCTCCTTTTCTTGCCTAGTTTCCTCAGTCCCTCCCCTCCTCCCCTCCTTGGCTCTTGCCCCATGTCATCCATGCCCCATACTGGCTTTTCATTTTTGAAACAGGGCCTCCTTTTGCAGTCCAGGGTGGTTTTGAACTCAACCACGCCCCTGCCTAAGTTTTCTGAATGTTGGATCACACTGTACACATCTGGCTTGAAATACCACATTTTGACAGTTAATGGTCCTCCATTGTTCCCAGTTCCATCTCAGGATGTGACTTACAGGCCCAGATGTCACAGGCCCTGGGAAGGAATTATTCCATAAAAAATAAGCACAGGGGCTGGAGCGATGGCTCAGCGGTTAAGAGCACTGACTGCTCTTGCAGAGGACCTAGGTTTGAGTCCCAGCACCCACATGGCGCTACGAACCGTCCTTAACTCAGTTCTAGGGCAATCAGAAGCCCTCTTCTGACCTCTGCAGCATTGCACGACACGGGTGCACTCACATGCATGCAGGCAATACACTCATACACATAAAATAAAAATAATAAATAAAACATTAAAAAAATAAAAAGCACAACTGGCACCCAACAAAAAAAGCAGTGCTATTGTGCCAAAGAATGCCAACAGTGTCTACGAGAGCACAGTATGAATGCCTAATTTTTTTAGAGACATTTTAAATTGTGTGTATGTGCACATGAGTGCCATTATCCTTGGAGGCCACATGAGTTAAGAAAAGTAACACTATTGTGCCAAAAAATACCAAATTGTGTCTATGAGAACGCAGTACTTTTAAAATAAATTCTAAATTTTTTTTGTTTTTGTTTATTTTGAGACAGGGTCTCCCTGTAGTCTCAGTTGGCCTTGAACTCACAGAGATATGCCTGCCTCTGCACTCCCACCTCCCCAAGAGCGCCATCACGCCTGGCAAATTCTTAATTTTTAAAAGAAGATTTATTAGCTGGGCATGGTGGCGACGCCTTTAGTCCCAGCACTCAGGAGGCAGAGGCAGGCGGATCTCTGTGAGTTTAAGGCAAGCTTGGTCTACATAGTGAGTTCCAGGACAGCTGAGGCTATAGGGAGACCCTGTCTCAAAAAGACCAAAAAAAAAAAAGATTTATTTTAGGGGCTAGAGAAATGGTTCAGCAGTTTAGAGCCCTGACTGTTCTTGCAGAGGACCATCCATAACTCTGGTTCCTGGGGTCCGACCCCTCTTCTTACCTCTGCAGGCACTGCACAACATGGGTGCACTTATACACATGTAGGTAATACACTCATACACATACAAATTAAAAAAAAATTTTTTTTCAAAGGCCAGGCCTGGTGGCACAAGCCTTTAATCCCAGTACTGGGGGGTGGGGGTGGGAGGCAAGTGGATCTCTGTGAGACTGAGGCCATCCTGGTCTACACAGTGAGTTCCAGGCCAGCTAGGGCTGCAGGGAGACCTTGTCTCAAAAAGATAAAATAATTTTTTGAACAGATTTATTTTAAATTGTATGTGCATGAGAGTGCTGGTGTCCAGGCCAGACGTTGGATGCCCTGCAACTGGAGTTACAGATGATTATAAGCTGCCTGACTTGGGTGCTGGGACTGGAACTCAAGTCCTCTGCAAGGGCAGCACACCCCCTTAACCACTGAGCCATTCCGCCAGCCCCAGAACACAGCATTTTTATTTTTTTTTCTTTTACCTTTTTTGAGGCAGGGTCTCAGTATGTAGCCCCAGCTGGCCTGGAATGCACAGAGATCTGCCTGCCTCTGCTTCCCCAATGCTGGGACTAAAGGTGTGCAGCACCATACCTGGCCCTACTTTGTGCATTTTTTAAGCATATACAGCAAAAATCTAGCACTGTTTTTTAGGCTACAACCCTGTAACTAGTCCACTGTTGGCCTCCACACATCTGCTGACTCCACTATTACTGGAGTGACATCTTTCAGATCCTTAGTAGCTTTCAGACTCAGAGATAGTTTTTAGATTTAAAAAAATTATTTATTGCCAGGCATGGTGGTGCACGCCTGTAGTCCCAGCACTTGGGAGGCAGAGGCAGGCAGATATCTGTGAGTTCAAGGCCAGCCTGGTCTACATAGTGAGTTCCAGGCCAGCTGGGGCTGCAGGGAGACCCTGTTTCAAAAATACATACATATATATATATATATATACACACACACACATTTTTTTTTCACTTTATGTGTGTGTTTTGCCTGCATGTAAATACACCTATACTTGCAATGCCGACAGAGGCCAGAAGAGAGCATTGGATCCCTTGAAACCTAGAGTTTCAGTTGTTAGCCACCATGTGGGTGCTTGTAACTGAACCTAGGTCCTCTGGAAGAGCATCCAGTGTTTTAACTGCTGATTCATCTCTCTAGCAGGCCTTCCCCCCTCCTTTAAATATTTTTTATTTATTTTTTATATCTTTAGGTGTATGAGTGCTGGTCTTGTTGTTTTTAACGCTCTCTCCTTCCATAATGTGGGTCCTGGGGACTAAATTTAGGTCATCAGTCTTGGCAGCAAGTGCCTTTACCTACTGAGCCATCTTGCCAGTGATCATAGTACTTCAATAAAAACTTCAAACCCTGCATTTTATAAACAGTATTTAGCTTAAAATTGTGGAGACACAAGTCTTTTTTGGCTTTCTATGTTTTAAAGACAGGGTCTCTAATAAAATTTACTATCTTAATCATATTTAAATGTACAGAAGTTTTTTTTGGCTTTCTGTGTTTTAGAGACAGGGTCTCTATAGTCCAGTCTGGCCTAGATTTAAGGCAATCCTCCTGTCTCAGCCTATAAAACTCTGGGATTACAGGAGCATTAGCTCTGGCACAGTATGTGGTCACTGTTGTGCAACTAAGCTCCAGCACTTGGTCTTTTGAACTTGAAAGTCTATTCACTTAACAGTTCTTCTTAACTCCTTTACCCTTGCCCCTGGCAAACCCAAGTGTACTGAGGATTGCCATGGTGCCATGCTAAATTGATACAATATTTATCTTTTTGTGACTGGGTGATTTCACTTAGCATAGTGTCTTCAGTTCATCCATGATAGTCACAAACTTTTTCAATTTCATAAAAGAAAAATGCAATTTATTTCTAAACTTTTACATTCCCATCAACAGTGCATAAGGGTTCCAATTTTCCTGCAACTTTGACATTTATTTTTTTAATAGCGGTGATCCTAATGGGTGTGAGGTAGTATCTCAGTGTGATTCTGTTTTCAATAGACTTTTTAGAGTATCTGGTTCACAGCAAACTTGAGACAATACAGAGATTTCCTATATACAGATATCAGCCCTTACACATGAACAGCCTCAACATGTCTACCAGAAAAGCACATAACTGCTGAACCTATTCTGGGCATCTTCACCCTAAGTCCACAGCTTACATGAGGGTTCACTCTTGTTGCATATTTTACATATTTGGACAAATGGCAAGTGACGCACATTCAATGTTAAGAGTATCATACAGAGTAGTTCTATGACCAAAGTTCTCTGTGCTTTAACTATTCACCCTGACACCTGAACTCTTTTTTCCTTTTGGTCTTTCTGAGACAGGGTCTCTCTGTAACCCCAGTTGGCCTGGAACTTGCTACGTAGACCAAGCTGGCCTCGAACTCACAGAGATCCACCTGTCTCTGCCTCCCAAATGCTGGGATTAAAGGCCTGCGCCACCACACCCTGTGACACCTGAACTTTTAAAACTGTGGTGCTGAGAACTTGTGGACCCCAGGAACTTGGCACTCTACCACTGAGCCACACTGCCAGTCTCTAATCCCTTATTGTCTCCAGTTACTCCTTTTGAGAATACTAGCCAGTATCATACACCTGGAATCAAGAGCGTAACCCTTTGGATAGGCTTCGTTCACTTGGCAATATTCCTCTACATCTTTTTGTGGCTCGCTAACACATTCTTTTTAGCACTGGTATTAGTCTACTGTCTGGATGTATCAGTTTATCCTCTCACCTATTGAAGGACATCTTGATTGCTTCTAAGTTTGGGGCAATCTTCCTGTCTCAGCCTTATAAATTATAAATAAGGTTGCTATGAACATCCATGTACTGGTTTTTCTATGAGCATATTTCCAATTCTCTTGGGGAAATATCAAGGAGCAAGATTCACAAAGTATACTGTATGTTTAGTTAACACAAGATACTGCTACGCTATTGTTCAGAGTGGCTATACCATCTTGTTTCCACAGCAGTGATAACACACCCCACTAGCATTTGGTGTTGTCAATGTTGTCTAGACACTCTAGTAGTGTTCCAACAGTATAGTTTGTTTCTGCATTTCCCTCCTGACATGTTACATGGATCATTTCAAGCACCTACTTTCCATTTACGTATCTTCTTTGGTGACACATCTATCAAGGCCTTGCGCCTATTTCTTTTTAATAATTATTATATCTTAAGATATTTATTGTATGAGAGAAGGCTCGAGCATGCCGCAGCGTGTGTAGTGTGTGTGTGGAGGTCAGAGGACAACTTATAGGAGTCAGTTCTCTCCTTCCACCATGTGGCTGGATCCTGGGTGATGATCAGGTTCAGTTGGTCAGGCTCAGTGGCCAGTGCCCTTACTGAGCCATCTTGCTGATCCTCATTTGTTTTTATGTTGAGTTTAGAGTTCCTGAGGTTTTGATGTATACTTCCTACATGACTAGTAATGCTAGTATCTCTTCCTATGCTTGTTAGCCTATAGGGTTTATTTTAAGCACACCAAAAGCTGCTTTTAAGACATTTTAAAAACAAACTTGATGCCTTTTAAAACTTCTCTCTGCACTTGGGAAAGCCCCTCTCCTATATCAACATGAGAAGACAGCTGGCTATACTCACAAACCTTCACAAGGCAAGCCTTCCTTCTAGGGCAGCTAACTGCAAAACTGGGAAGAGCAAAGGTTGGTGACAGATATAATGGTCCAGTCACCAGAGGAAAATGACAAGCTCGCCCCCTGGCTACACGTATGGAGACAACAAGAAAAAAAAGTCAACGTTCTTCAAAGACAAGGCACAATGACTATGAAGAACACATTCTATGCTGCCCAGAATTGGGAGAAAGCACTAACATTACAAATGAAAAACCAACTGAAAAGAGTTTATTCACAGGGACAACTTAAAAAGTTCAGACCCTCCAGGCATGGTGGCATATGCTTGTAATCCCAGCACTGGGGAGGCTGAGGCAGTACTTTGAGGTCAGTCTAGGCATCACAAAACCCTGTTAAAGAAAGGGTTTCGTTCCAGCGGACAAACTTGGTGCTACCAAGTCCCATAACCCCTGCTTACACACTACTAGCTGGTGTGGCTTTGGGAATCATCTGTTCCCTTGTCATGAGGAGCAAAATCAGGTGAATGCCTGAGGAGGCTCATTTTTGACTCTGAGGAGGGCAGGCTTAGGTTTCCTCTTCTCTGGCAATCCTATAGCGTAAGTACCTTCAACCTTCAGGACGCACTCAGCTTGCTCTTGAGCCCTATGAATCCGCTAAACAGTCTAACTGGAAAGGCAAAAGGCAAGCCCACACCATGGTTATGTAAGCCAGAGGGTGGCAGTCGTGACTGTTCTTAGCTTCTTAAGACCTCTATTATGTAAATTAAGATACTTTCTTATTTTCAAGCCCTTCCAAAGTAAAGGCTGCTCCTTTCAGGCCTGTGGCTATTTTTTCCAATTCTATTTGTGTTCCCCAAACCCAAAAGTTTATGGCTCTATAATTTATTCCTATTTTTCAGAGGTTCAGGAGTTTAAAAAGACCCTATAAATATGGGTGTCCTCCCAGAATACACCAAAGGATTCTTTACTGAAATATACCCTTCGACCACTCCCAGCAGGCAACACTCTGGAGCAGATGGCGCTGTATTACCCAAGATAGCAAGTCCAAGGTCTTCCTGCTCTGGCAGGCTGATCTACAAAGGGCTCATCTGATCTCAGAAAGGAGGAGCCAGTGTCAAGCTGTCTGTTGCCTGGAGGGACGGTGGGACACACCACCTTACCCAAAGGTTATGGGTTGGACATTTTTCTGCTGTTCTTTGTGCAGTTCCCGGGCCCGATTTTTTAGCATCTCAGCCTTGGCTTCATCCTTACCAACACCATCCCCAAGTTTATACATGCGGCTGGCATTGGCACAGGCCCAGACATGGCCCAGGTCACAGGCTTTCATTGAGTATTTACATGCCTGGTCCATGTCCTTGGGAAAGCCAGGGGCGCCCTGCAGAAACATGGCACTGAGGTTGAAGCAGCTGGCTGCATAGCTGCCATCACAAGCCCTGGTGTAATAGTCCCTGGCCTTCCCCAGGTCAGGCTGGCCATCCTCATTGACCTGTCCATCATGTGCCAGGAGCCCCACATTGTGACATGCTTCCACAGACTTCTTTCCGGGCTTCTCACAGGCCATCAGAAAGCAGGCAGAGGCAGCTTTCAGGTCCTGAGCCAGTCCGCCTGCAAGGACAGAAGACAAAGAAAGAGGTAAACCCAAGGGCTGGGGACATAGCTGAGGAATAGAGCTGTCTAATATGTGTGAGGCCTTGGTTCAATCCTCAGTACTACCCCCCAAAAGAACGCAAACCCCAGTGAGGGTAGAACCTACTTGTCTCAGGACAACTCCTGGTCAAAGGTCTATGAGCTAAGATATCACAAGAGAAAGGTAGCAGGGAATGCTTACATTTTTTAAGCCATAGAATCTTTTTAAGTTAATTTTTTTTTTAATCTTTTTTTTTTTTTTTTTGGTCTTTTTGAGACAGGGTCTCCCTGTAGCCCCAGCTGTCCTGGAACTCACTCTGTAGACCAGGCTGGCCTTGAACTCATAGAGATCCACCTGCCTCTGCCTCCTGAGTGCTGGGATTAAAGGCATGCGCTACCACACCCAGCAAATTTTTAAAAAAATTTATGTGTATGTGTTTTGCCTGCAAATGTACCACATGTGTACAATGCCTATGGAGGCCAGAAGAGGGTGTTAGATCACCTGGAACTAGAGTTACAGACAGTTATTGGCTGCCATGTGGGTGCTGGGAACCAAACCTGGGTCCTCTGCAAGTGTAGCCAGTGTTCTTAACCACTAAACCATCTCTCCAGCCGTGGAATCTTTAGTTCAAGTGCTATCTTATAGGGAAGCCCAGACATATAAAGTTAAAACTTGGACCACTAGAGTCTACCCCATGAGGTTACAGTAAGAACACAGCTTTTACGCTGGACATGGTGGCACATGCCTTTGATCCCAGCACTCAGGAGGCTGAGGCAGGCAGATCTCTGTGACTTCAAGACCAGCCTGGTCTACATAGCAAGCTCCAGGCTAGCTGGGGCAACAGGGGGACCCTGTCTCAAAAATATTGCCCCCAAAAGGAACATAGCTTTTTTCTTTTTAAACTTAAAAAAAAATTTTATTTATTAATTTTATTTTATGTGTATGCATATATTGCCTGCATGGGTCAGAAGAGGCTGTTGGATCCCCTGGAACTGGAGGTTCGGACAGTTGTTAGCTGCCATGTGGGTGCTGGGATTTGAACCTGGGTCTTCTGCAAGAACAGCCAGTATTCTTAACTGCTGAGCCACCTCTCCAGCCCCAGGAACATAGCTTTTTAAAAAGATTTTATTTGGGGGGACTGGAGAGATGGCTTAGCAGTTAAGAGCACTGGCTGCTCATGAAGAAGACCCAGGTTTGCTTCCCAGCACTCACAGGGTGGCTAATAACCATCTGTAACTCCAGTTCCAGGAGATCCAGCACCCTCTTCTGGCCTCTATGGGCCTTGCACTACATAGGTACATTTACATACATGCAGGCAAAACACTCATGCACAAAATAAAAATAAATTTAAAAATTTTAATACTTTTTATTGAATTTTTTCAATTTTCATACAATATAATTTGATGGTATTTAGATCCCCTCCCCTATTCATACCTCCTACTGCCTGCCACCCAATTGAATGTACTGTCTTTTATATGTAAGGCCTCTAGAGTCTAATCTGTGTCCTCAAATGTCCTTCAATGTGGGGAATTTTTTTTTTTTTTTTGTCTTTTTGAGACAGGGTCTCCCTATAGCCCCAGATGACCTAGAACTCATTATAGACCAGGTTGGCCCTGAACTCAGAGATCCACCTGCCTCTGCCTCCCAAGTGCTGGGATTAAAGGTGTGCGCCACCACGCCCAGCCAGGGAAAGTTTTTTTTAAGATTTTATTTTTGGAGCTAGAAAGATGGCCTAGCGGTTACAAGGACTGGCTGCTCCTGTAGAATCAGTTCCCACCACATACATGGTGGCTAACAACCATCTGTAACTCCAGTTCTATATCTGTAGCCCTCTTTTGACCTCTGTGGACACTGCACAACATGGGTGCACTTGACCTATATACAGGTAATATATGCATAAAATAAAAAATATTTTTAAAGACTATTTTTGTTTTATGCTTATAAGTATTTTGCCTGCATGTATATAAGTGCACCATTTTGTGCCTGGTGCCCACAGAGGCCAGAAGAGGGTGTTGGATCACTTGGAAATGGAGTTAAGAATGGGTGTTAGCTGCCATGTGAGTGCTGGGAACTGAACCTAGGTTCTCTGGAAGAGCAATAAATACTCTTAACAGTTACGCCATCTCTCCAGTCCCAGAACATAGCATTTTTACAATAAGCACTTAAGGGAGCGATGGCTCAGCGGTTAAGAGTGCTTCCTGTTCTTGCAGAGGATGTGGGCTGGGTTCCCAGCACCCTCATGGCAGCTCTCAAATACATATAACTTGAGTTCTAGGGAATCCAACACCCTCTTCTGACCGCCATGTACTCCTGCACACATGTGGTACATATAAACACAAACACATAAATAGAAAATAAAGCATTTTTTAAACAAGCACTTAATGTTTCTTCATTTAAATGTACAGTTGGATCTACATATTTATGAGTTCTGCATGTGCAGATTCAATTAGTTACAAACACTCTGAAACATATTTAAACCAGACATCATCTGCAAATTTAACTGACTTTGAAATGAAAACACTCAGAAAAAAATGTGGGGGCTGGAGAGATGGTTCAGTGGTTAAGAGCAATGGCTGCTCTTGCAGAAGACCCAAGTTCAGTTCCCAGCATTCACAGAGAGGCTCACAACCCCCTATAACTCCAGTTCCAGGGGAACCCAATACCCTTTTCAGTCCTCTGTTGGGCACTGCACATACATGCAAGCAGGCAAAACACTCATACACTTAAATTTTTTTTTTTTTTTGGTCTTTTTGAGACAGGGTCTCCCTGTAGCCCCAGCTGTCCTGGAACTCACTATGTAGACCAGGCTGGCCTTGAACTCACAGAGATCCGCCTGCCTCTGCCTCTCAAGTGCTGGGATTAAAGGCGCCACCACACCCGGCACACATAAAATTTTTTAAGGAGTAAAAAAATGTGTCTATATTAAACATGAATGAACTTTTTTCCTTGTTATTATTCCCAGAACAGTGCATGCTATAAAAACTATTTACATTAGCATTTACACTGTATTAGCCAACCTAATCTAGAAATGATTTAAAGATCCTAGAACCAATCTTCCATGGACACCAAGGGTAGACTCTATAGTGAATGTCTGTAATTTAGACCAGCATGGTGATACCTGGCTGTAATGCCATCACCTGGGAGATAGAGGCACAGGGAATCAGGAGTTCACAATAATCCTTGAGGACTAGAGAGAGACCTTAGCAGTTAAGAGAGCTTGCTGCTTTTCCAGAGGAACACAGTACAGCTTCCAGCACCCATGTTGGGTGACTCACAACTGTTTGCAACTTCAGCTCCAGGGGATTCAAGACCCTCTTCTAGATGCTTTAGGCTGCACTCACATGTACACATATCCACATATAGAAACACACATGTATACATAATTTAAAAAAATCACCACCCTTGGCTGTATACCTAGTTTGAGGCCAGCCTGTGCTACATGGTACCTTGTCAACACTCCCTTGAACAACAAAATTATGTCTATTATTTACCAAGTAATACACTGAGTCCTGGGGGACAGTAACTGCCCTGCCCTTGTGGGTCTTACAAGACATATTAACAACCATACAAATAAATGTATGCTCGTATGTGTGACAAGGGTATGGAGGTACCATCAGAATGTATCAAGACCCTGACCTAGGCTGGGGGTGAGGTTAAGGAAAGCTCCCTTAAGACATGATACTAAGGGGCTAGAGAGATGGCTCAGCAGTTAAGAGCACAAGCTGTTCTTGCAGAGGACCCAGGTTCAAATCCCAGTACCCACATGGCAGCTAACAACCATCCTTAACTCCAGTTCCAGGGGATCCAACACCATACAGTGTCACGGACACTGTATGACATGGATGTACTTACATACATGCAGGGAATATACTCATATACAAAAAATAAAAATAAATATTTTTAAAAAAAAGTCATGATATTGGAACAGGGTATGGTGGTTCCTGCCTATAATCCTAGTACTGGGGAGGCAGAGGCAGGAGAATCAAGAGTTCAAGACCAGCCTAAGCTATAGCATGAGCTTCTGTCTTAAAAAAAGAAAAAACAATGGTACTTTGTTTTTTCATTGCAAAATTGAAAATCTCTCTGCATCATTACTTATTTTCAGAAATATAAACATATTCAGCATTTACAAAAATTTCTTAAGAAGTACAAATTTAATATTTTTTTTAAGATTCACTTTATTTGTGTGTGTATATGTGTGTGCTTGTGGGTGCCTGCAGAGACTAGAAGAGGATATCCCTGGAGCTAGAGTTACAGGTAGTTGTGAACCTCCTGAAATAGGTGCTGGGAACTGCAGACCTCTGGAAGAACAGCCAGTTGCACCACCACGCCTGGCTTCTTTATTTATTTTTTGATAACCCTCTAAGTCATTAAATTAGTGCTGCTTGCATGTACATGACTGTGGGGCCATCCACAGGGGCATGCTCCAGAACACTGACTCCCTTTCCCAGTAGTCATCAACAGCCAACAGATCCTTAGGTAGACATGGAGCCTCCTAAGCCCTTCCCTCACACAGGCTGGAATGTTGACTGACTCAATCTTGTGACGGTCTTGCGCAGGTAACCATAACTGCTGTGAGCACTATCAGTCTTTAAAAAAGCAATCATTAAGGGGCCAGAGAGTTGGCTCAGTGGTAAAGAGCACTGGCTGCTCTTGCAGAGGACCTGGGTTCAGTTCCCAGCACATAGTGGTTAATAATTAATTGCCCTGACTCCAGTTCCAGGGGACCTGATGCCCTCTTCTGACCTCCACAGGCATTGCCCGACATGGGTGCACCTACCTACATGCAGGCAAAACACATAAAATAAAAATAATGAAATAGCTCTCTCCTACCCACAGGCCTCTCTTGGGGGTAAGTCCATTGGGCCCTCCGTGCCTTGACTCCCCCAGCCTCATTCACCCTCCCATCTCCCCCGCCATTCTCACCTCCTAGTTTGGGTCCTCTCCCATTTCTTGTCTTGGGGTCCCAGACACCTGG